ACATGTTTGAGCGGACCGATCAATTAGTGATTTATTTAAATATTTTCTAAAGTACGTTCCTGTCGGTCTGGCTCTGTGTTAGACCGTTAGCTTGGTAATTGCACTCTCGGCAATTATGCCCAAGGGAAGCGATAGACATCCTGTGCGTGATCAATTCGCAACCTTCCTACGAAGTACTCATGATTCTTCAGTGTGTCGCGAAAACGTTGTATGGACAAAAATACTTGATTTTTTTGGTACTTGATTTCAAAACATGAAAATTATGTCTGTGTGAATGTGTTCATCAGTTGGGAGAGTGTTGGCGATCGATCGATGTTATCGCTTATTCTTATTTTATTTTTAAACATGATTGAAAGTGTATTGAACAGAATATTTTAATTTTTGGAGTTTTTTTTTTTTTTTTTCCTACCTAAGCTGAGAGCCTTGAGAGGCTATTTCAGCGTAACCCTAACTTTTGTAGGTAAGCTCACGGGGCTCAAACCTGATGACGTTGCTAACACGAACCCTAGCAAGAGCCGTGCTTCGCAGAATCTACCACCGGATCAGAAACGCGACCCACTGAGAAGATCCGGCGAGAAACTCAGTGGGCTGTGTCTGAGAGTTAATTTACTCGTCGAGCCCTTCGTCGCAAGCGACGGGATGGAGTTATACTTCTTTAGGCGCGTTATGAAAAATTGATGAGAGCGAAATTTAACGATGCGAGCGCACCGTGACACAAAATTAACAGAATGAAGTTGTCCACTAAATCGCTCATTACAATACGACCGACATAACTTGGCGAGTCTGAATATAGCCGCAGGTGAACTTTCCGAACCGTACAGAGAATTACCGAATTTATACGATGTCAAGAAAAGGTATGTCCAATATGAGTGTTTGAGGATATTGTTTAATCGATTTTTTTTTTCAAATCGATTAAAATTTAAATAAAAAAAAGAAAAAATTAGTAAAAATAAAGTATAACTTCTTACGCGCATACATAAGTACACGCGCCCTTTTTTATATAGATAGGGTAGTTTGAAAATGGCTCGATTATCGAAATTATGAGTTGACAATGAAGGTGTGTCGTATAATGAAAATGATTGATAAACTGTAACACATTTTCAATTACTTTAATTTATTGCTTGAAAATACTATGACTAATATACGACGAAATAAGAAATATTACGAAAATACTATATTACGTTCAATACAACTCACACACACTAAAAAATATATGGTCTCTCGTTGTTGTTACTATATTCGTGCAGTTTCTATGTCTGTAGTACAGTATCGGCTGTATCACATTATGTATCTAGGTTACAAGGTGCATTCGTAAACTTATTCGTTCGTAAATACTTTATTGGTAAATAAATCTTAGAATGTGGTGACGTAGTCTTGGCACATAGACACAGCCCACTGAGTTTCATGCCGGATCTTCTCAGTGGGTCGCGTTTCCGATCCGGTGGTAGATTTTGAAGTCGTCGTGGCCTAGAGGTTAAAGACGTCAGGTGCATTCATGTTGAGCGATGCACCAGTGCTCGAATCCCAGGCGGGTACCAATTTTTCTAATGAAATACGTACTTCACAAATGTTCACGATAGGTTTCCACGGTAAAAGAATAAAAATCGAACCCGCGAAATTATAATTTGCGTAACTACTGGAGGTAGGACCTCTTGTGAGTCCGCGCGGGTAGGACCACCACCCTGCCTATTTCTGCCGTGAAGCAGTTTCGGTTTGAAGGGCGGTACAGCTGTTCTAACTATACTGAGACCTTAGAACTTATATCTCAAGGTGGGTGACGCATTTACGTCGTAGATGTCTATGGGCTCCAGTAAAACACTCAAAACCAGGTGGGCTGTGAGCTCGTCTACCCATCTAAACAATAAAAAATTAATAAATAAATTCTGCGAAGCACTGCTCTTGCTAGGGCCAGTGCTAGCAACACTCCGGTTTGAGCCCCGTGAGCGTTAGGGCAAAGCTGAAATAGCCTCTCAAGGCTATTAGCACAGGCAGGAAAAAAAAGCAGCCAAAATGTGAGGGTTTAATTTTTTGGCGAAAATTGTTTATTCGAATTCCCTATAATTTATAGAGCACTTTTCAAAGTTAACCTTATCCTAAAATTTATGTTTTAGTCATGAACATTTGATTTTGTAATGTAAAATTCATAGCGCAAGTTTACAAAATGGAAATAGCATAAAATCTTGTAGTATCATCGAATACTGTAGGTAAATAACCAATTACAACAAACTCCACGAAAAATAATTATGGTCAAACCGATTTGTATTCAAACCAACATTCCATAAAATTTGTTAACTTAGATTAACAAGAAACATTAATAATTGAAATTCATTGCAAGTGAATCGGTGCTTCGAATGAACCACCAATTGAATATAAAGCTAATTGAAAATAATAATGCAATTAACGGGATTCAGAAACAACATCGTAAAAGTATTACGAATCGTTCAGTTTTAGTATTATTTTGATATATTATTATGGATATGTTTTATCGTTATTGAACCGGGTATCTGTACTAAGTTTTGACATCACAAAAAGTCCAGTATATTTTGTTAGAATAACAATTATTGATGTTCAAAAAAAAGTTGCTTAAATATAAATCACTTTATTACATTTTCACTAGTCACAAATATTAAAACTTATTCTTCGGTTTATTATCGAAATTGTTATTATATTTTATATATATTATTATCTTTCGAATACACATAACGGTACTGTTAGTAAATTGAAATTGAATTATTTATCCAAATATTCTAAATATGTTTCTGTGGCAAACAATAATTCACGTCTTGTATACTGAAGAGCGGGATAGAGGATAGGCGCTTTGAGGTAACCCTCTTTAACACGGTAGATACGTTCCAACAAAGTTCCGTGTTGTGCGAAACCGTGTTATATGAGACTAAAGTACTAATAAAACATCTCAACTATGCCTGTATTTTTTACCTATTATACATAAAAAATAAGCAGTATTTTTTTGTTATTCCCATAGATTCTCGGATATGTGTCGATAGTGCATAATTTAATAGAAAAATAATTTGAAAAAACAATCTCGTTATCGTGTTGTAGAAGTACGTTGTTACAAAAGGATTTTGGGGACTTTCTTTTCACGTTCGAGTAGAATCGTGTTGTATTACTTGTACAAAGAAGATTTGATCTAATATTTCGTATCGGGCGTATAACGTCGTTCGCGTTATTTTATCTAAGGGCTCCGGTAACCCCTTAACATCAGGTAGGCTAACAAAATATAACCAATAAAATAGTAATAAAATGTTTTGACCATAAATTAAATTCACTTTTATGCATTTATGTAAACATAAATAAATTTCATGTTTAGTTCTATATCGCCATTAACGACCTAACTCAGTCCTTTTAAGTACTTATTTGACACACGACTTGATAGAAACGGACATTATGTAAAACATTTAGCTCTTTGAATCTCAATTAATGTCTCGATTTTATTTCAACTAACTGCAACCTCATTTCGCAAATGTCTACTGTTTTATCTACACGAATAAAATAAGGCCTTTTGTATTGTTTGTTTGTGTGTTGTATTTTTTTTTACCTATGGTGATAGCCTTGAGAGGCTATATCAGCTTCTCCTTGACGTGTAGGTGAGCTCACGGGGCTCAAACCGGGTGTGTTGCTAACACTGGCCAGGGCAGTGTTTCGCAGAATCTACCATCGGATCGGAAACGCGACCCACTGAGAAACCCGGCGAGAAGCTCGGTGGACTCTGTCTACGGGTTAATTCACTCGTTGAGCCCTTCGTCGTAAGCGACGGATTCGACGAGGACGGTTACCGAGTGTGTTGTAAATGCTATCTGGTATATATTGTATTCGTAGGTATATTGGGTGTTATTGAAAATTCACTTACAAAAACCACATGTTATCTCTTATTTACCTCAGAGACTTCAATAGCAATCGATCGATTATGCGAAAATCGATCATTTTCGGTCGATAACATAATATTAATGTAATGTAATTCATTCATCCAAAATTCGGTCAAACAACATTATATTATAATCTTGCTATGTCTTGCAGAGTAATTTTGTTTCCAATCACCCAAGTTACATAAATAGATGGATAGCATTTAAATGTTATCTTTTTATTTCTTAAAACTAGCACAATTGGTGAAATACGAAGCACTAGACACTAATTAGTGTCGAACAGATGCGGGACAAGTATTTAATTACTTCTCTATAATTTATTACCCTATTCAATTACTTTAAAAGAATTTTAAACTGTGTACATTGATTTAAATGAAACTTAAAGTATTCGCGTCGTATCCTGTTAATCCTCCGGTTTCTTTGAGAGCAATCGTGGTGTAGTGATGGGTAGATTAATGTGTGTTTGTCTGTATTGTAGCTTAACTCATAGACGCAATGACGCGATCGAATCTTGACGCATAACGATATAGCCCCATTTGGACTGATATAACCACTGTTCTATCGTAAAGGATCAGTGTGTTTAGTTCGAGTTTTTTAACGTTCTCGATAACGTAAAAGTTAACTCAAATTTGTATGCAGTTGGAACAGCGCCCCTCGCGGCAAACGTATTCAAACGTTCCTTCCTTCCTATTCGTACACTCTTGACAGAGTGGTCGTAGTCATGCATCAGTCGGATCTTGCGATACCGATGCTCTCGCGATGCGAGCCATATGACACGGTGTTTTGCAGAGAGCAATCGTTTATGTTGGAGTGAGTCACAGATTTTATGAGGTCGGTCCATCGTGTAGGAGATCGTCCGCGAGATCTTTTGCCCTCGACTTTCCCTTGCTAACGTTCCAACTCAATACAAACTTGAGTTAACTTTTACGTTATCGAGAACGTTAAAAAACTCGCACTAAGCAAACAGACCAGAAAACATGATTCTCCTTGTTCTAAGACCGGCACTGACCCACGAGCTAAAAACATTATAATGAGTCTTCGCGGTAAAATTTAGCAGACCCTGGTACCAACTCACATAATAATATACTGGGACTATCGTAAAAAAAAGGATTTTAAAGCAGCAAAACAACTACCTTAATTTTCAGAACTCCTTCGTGCACATTTTGATTGCTCTGCTCAGAGTGATCTGTAACAAATAAATAGATTACATTTAACAAAAAAGCAAGTACAATTAGCTAAACTTGAAGAACACTGTTTATATAATTATTGCTTATTTAATTTTGTTTAAGCACAACAGTGCATGTCCAATGGCGTTGTTATAATTCAGCGTTATTTTAAATTGATGATATTTCTTATAGATTTAAAAGAAAATGTTATAAATTAAAAGACATTTTCCTTATTACACCGTGAAATACCAGCTATGGTAAGTTAACTAAGTTATACTAGCGCAACGTCCGTAAAAACATCGTGTTGCCTTAGTAAGAGCGTAACCTGAATTCTTTTTCTAATCACATTTGTCATGTATGGATTGAAAAAAAGGGTGCATTAAAATTCTTTGTCAGGTATACATATACGAATTGAATGTGTAATTGTGTAGACGTTTGTAATTTCTGTGGTTTTCTGATTCTTTCAAGATGAGACGAGGATTTAATTTGTTTGTTATATTTCTATTTTGTGAATAATTTCACCAATTCTCGTTTTTTACCTCCGTGTCATTATTATATTGGTTAATTTTCTGCCTAGTGGTATACCAATAAAAACTAACAACAAGAAAATGTATTAAGTCAAATTAAAATTGAATTCATGTACTACGACCGCCTAACGAGCATAAATAAATCACTTTTTTTTTCAATTTGTTTTGCAATCGGTACAGAGTAATCAAAGCACTCCGAAGATATCGTAACGTCGCCTTGCGGACTACAAGCCGATTTTTTCAATTCTAAACATAAATAAAACTAATTAATAATAATGACTGCGAAGAACGTGATAATCTAACTGATACGCTTCTTACTTAGTTTATCCATTTAGAGGCCGTTGCAAATTTTCTATGGAATCGAACTCCACCCAGTTTCAATAGAAAGTTGCTAAAAACTTTCTTTTAAAATCATCAGTCTAGTCATCCTCCGGGATGATTTCGAGATACAAGTATCATAATACTTACTATACATTGAACTAAAATTAACAGATTCTTAGATAATTCGACCGTTTTCTTATATTGACATCAGTGAACCGGCCATTGCAAGATCTATGCGAGTTTATCTATATATTAATACGTGAAGCAAAAACTTTGTATCCCTTTTTACGAAAATTGCGCGGACGGACGAGTATGAAAGTTTCCACACTTATAGAAAATATAGAGAAGAAGTGCACAATGCTAAATTTTTAAAACAATGCATAAAGGATACATTAATTCAATAAAAAATACATTACACACATTACCATGTATTTGACACACACACACACATACATATAATTATACTCTTTGTTTATTGTCAATTGTCAAACTTTTGTTAATGTTTAAAGTCTGTGGTCAAATTCGGAATAGATTAATATTGTTTGTCTTTATTTATCTATAGTGTAAGTTTTGGCGAATTCTGTGATTATATTATAGAAATATTGTATTGACAATAGAACCATAATAATGTTTAAACATACAATTTCAATTAACATTATAGTCGAATTTCGACTACTGCGGGACCACTAGTAACATTTAATGCTTTTGACATTTCATATATTGACTCGACAGCGTTACTTGCACAATACAATAATTACGATATTTTCAAATATATTTTGCATAAAGATACGTGTCAATTAAGAGNAGAAATATTGTATTGACAATAGAACCATAATAATGTTTAAACATACAATTTCAATTAACATTATAGTCGAATTTCGACTACTGCGGGACCACTAGTAACATTTAATGCTTTTGACATTTCATATATTGACTCGACAGCGTTACTTGCACAATACAATAATTACGATATTTTCAAATATATTTTGCATAAAGATACGTGTCAATTAAGAGCCTAAAACTTGCTCTTTGATAATAAACTTTTCTTATCGATGTTTATCTGTAATAAACGTTAAAATGTTGTATTATTGATATCAATCTATTTAATTGATCAATTTGGCGTTTATCTCTGTTTAAATACGCAAAAACTAAGCAGGTTTGTGCCATTTTCTCATTTGTTTGTCAACCGATTTTATGTTTATGTAGTTTTTGTTTATCTATGAAAAGTATGTATTAAACTGTTTGGCTAATAAAAAATTAGAAACATTTAACTTTTTCCTTCTCCCAAGTTTTACTGGAAAAAAATCCAAAACAAAAGAGAAAATTGAGAACATAATAATAATAATAATAATAATAATGTTTTTATTGGAAGTAACCATGACTCATATAAATTGTTAATAAGACTTAGACATATGTTAGTAGTTATATTTACATCACAATGAATTACTGTCGTAACATCCCATGGGAGATGGCACCACAGCGACCCATGTATACACAGTTCAGCCTGCTTGCGATCATGCTCAGGATACTGTTGGAGCTGGCCCTCACTCTGCTTACTAGAGATGCATAAACTGAGATTATTTTCGGTTTTCGCGAGACGTCGACATAATTAAAAGAATTTTTACGGTTTAACGTATTTTTTTATAATTTTGCTATTACACATCTACTGCGACATTTCGAATACTTTATATCAGGGATCGTTAAATGGCGGACCGCGATCCGCATCCAGACGGTCGACCGATTTTGTGCGGATCGCGAGAATACTGCAACTTGCACTACAGATGCAGTAGTACATACAAACGTTATTTAATAAAAATGTATTCACCGCATTATCTTTATTGACCTCAAGTTGATAACAGGCGAATTTACGAGCTAACAGGCGGGAAAAAGTTCCCGGATTACAAGAGCATTGATCGTCGCAGTATAGAAGTGCGAAGTCGATCTCGACTTACTGATAAACATATCCAGGATTTAATGTCAATTTGTCAGTTCCTGGTGGTAGGACCTCTTGTGAGTCCGCACGGGATCACCCTGCCTATTTTTACCGTGAAGCAGTAATACGTTTTGGTTTGAAAGGTGGGGCAACTAACTATACTATACGTAACTAGATCTTAGCACTTATATGTATCTCAAGGTGGGTGACGCACGTTATAGATGTCTATGGGCTCCAGTAACCACTTAACAACAGGTGGGCTGTGAGCTCGTCCATCCACCTAAGCAATAAAAAGAAAATTACCTTGCACCAAAATTAGTCCAAACTTCAAACAGATGGTCCGTAACATTGGCATTTTTCTCGTTGATATGTAAAAAAATAACTGTTATATCCGTAATTAAATTTATTTAATAAGTTTTTTCTACAAAATGTTGTTCGGACCGCAGTGGTTTTTCATTTTTTAAAACGGTCATAATTTTTTTTACTGGTGGTAGGACCTCTTGTGAGTCCGCACGGGTAGCTACCACCACCCTGCCTATTTCTGCCGTGAAGCAGTACTGCGTTTCGGTTTGAAGGGTGGGGCAGCCGTTGTAACTATACTTGAGACATTAGAACTCATATCTCAAGGTAGGTGGCGCATTTACGTTGTAGATGTCTATGGGCTCCAGTAACCACTTAACACCAGGCGGGCTGTGAGCTCGTTCACCCATCTAAACAATAAAAAAAAACGGACCCCGAACGAAACTAATTAGTGACCCCTGCTTTACAGTTTTAGAACTAAGTCACAATGAAACATGACAGAATTTCACTAAGCAACTAAGCATTTTCGATTCATGTCAAGGATTATGTAAAAGTGAGAAACGTTGGAGGGCCTAATCTAATCGTCACGCGATCTCAGTTTTATTTCTTAATTAATTACAATACAACAGTTAACATGGCGACACTGGCCTTAAAATATAACGCAAAAACAATAGTGCTTAAGATGTCGTTCTGATTTTGTTGACTGCGCATTGTGTTTTTTTTTTAAATTAAAACCTTTAAAATTGATTTTGTTCTGGAATATGGCTCGAAATAAAAATCTTTGCGATTATTTAAATTACAAAGAAAACATTGTAAGTCAAATTGTGCCTCTGTAAGAGGCGGCTTCCCTCCAGTGAAGGTCGCGGGGTGACTTGATGGGGTCGAGATTCTTTTAATGCTCGACCAATGATTGTTTCTTTACTTTAGAAATCCAAATTTAACGCAAGCAAAACTGCGGGCACAGTTAGTTTGCCATTCTTGGACGCTACCATAAAGTAACAGATTGGCATATTATTTTCTTTTTTGGCAAAGGAATTCTTGATAAGCTGCGTAATGTAATAGGAATTTTTGGCGCGAACGGATCGGCTTTGTGGCCTAGAACAACAGAACTCCATCTTTTCTAAGAAATTTATTAATAATGGACAGAAACACTCGTAGAGTATTATACAGTACTATATAATTTTATTGGTGGTAATGCATATTGTGAATCTACATAAAAGTACAACACATACACAACATACACACCAACGCACACACATTCGCTCCGTTTTCGACCTCACGTTTCATGTAGCTTGGGACATTCACGTTGTGGTCTGAAAGGTTTTTTACTGTCTTTTTTTGCCTTTTGTAGATAGACGACTATACGAGCTACCTGATGGTGCGTGATTACTGTCGTTCATGAACGATGTCAATGCCAGGGGCGTAACCAAGTCGTTGCCTATAGCTGAGGCTGAGTCCTCCCTACCCGCCTCCGAAAATATTACACCGAGCGGACGAAATTGCTCGGTAAGCCGACGGCCCGAATGTTGTTGTTTGGAACTTATTATATAAGCTTATCTTGAAAATTTCAGGCATCGTCAAATACCTTGTCTTCTATGATGACTACCCGCCACACCTTACTTCGGTGGCGGGAAGAGTGATGATAATAGATGAGATGGATAATCTCGAACAATTCTTCAGAGCACTCGAGATCTTTTGTAGCTTCTTGATAACAAATGAATGACTGGTCCTCCACGTGAGTAATAAAAAAATCCGAAATACCCATTTCTATTTCAGAATCTTATGTTAAAATATAGCCAATTTTAAGCCGACGCGCCTTTTACAAACCGAATTAAGTAGCAATTCCGAACCACGATTCTTTTTAGTGTAATTAAATAAATGGTTCGTAAAGTTTTTATGATGTAACATTGATTTACTGACACCGCATCGGCAGTTCAGCTTAATTCGGTCTCATTTGACATATCTGGGCCAAGTATTAAATTTTAATATTACTAAACGGCGAACAATATTAGGTGACAAAACAAAATGGACATTGATTTATGACGTTGTAATTTTAATTATACGCTGCCTATACACGAATTCAGAATAATAATACAGTAATAATACATTGTAATATCAGGCTTATCTTGTCAGTCAGCCGAAGATTGTAATTGCTATTGTAACGTTTATTGTTTGTTGGGTCAAACTTGTGATGGACTCTTTGTAGGACGTATTGTGAGACTAAACATCAGATGGAAGGTGAGCTCGTTCGTCTAAGCAATAAAAAAGGATTTACTAATATTATGCAGTCGACGTGTCGAATACATCCCGAAAATATAATATGTATTATATTGGCGACACCTTTATGTTTGTTAGGTACATTCATTTTCATTCATTAGTCAATTACAAAAGTACTTTGAAACATACAAGACTTAATTAGTTTTTTATTGCTATCATTTTAGAAGTCGTCGTGGCCTAAAGGATAAGACTTCCGGTGCATTCATGTTGAGCGATGCATCGGTGTTTGAATCTCAGGCGGGTACCAATTTTTCTAATGAAACACGTACTCAACAAATGTTCACAATTGATTTCCACGGTGAAGAAACAGCATAGTGTAAATAAAAATCAAACCCGCAACAATTATAATTTGCGTAATTACTGGTGGTAGGATCTCTTGTGAGTCCGCGCGGATAGGTATCACTACCCTGCCTATTTCTGCCGTGAAGCAGTAATGCGTTTCGGTTTGAAGGGTGCGGCAGCCGTTGTAACTATACTTGAGACCTTAGAACTTATGTCTCAAGGTGGGTGGCGCATTTACGTTGTAGATGTCTATGGGCTCCAGTAACCACTTAACACCAGGTGAGCTGTGAGCTCGTCCACCCATCTAAGAAATAAAAAAAGATTGACTTTTATAGAAGAGTTCATGGCCTACCTGATGTTAAGTTGTAATCGTAGCCCGTAGCAACATAAGGCAGAACTGTTGCATTATATCCCGGTTGTCCTACGCATCAAACCTGAGTTGAATGTAAGTGGCGTAATTTGGCAGATGTTTTTTGTCGTTATAAGCAAACGAGTATAAGGCTCGTATCATTGTAAGTAGTCATCATCGCTAATGGACATAAACAGTTCGAAGGGCCTAGTCAAGTCGCTGCTTACTTATCATCATAATTTAAGCAAAACCGGGCTACCTTATTATTACACGCCCTTATTCCTCTACCGTGTTATGTATCTTTTTTTATTTCGTAATTAGGTGGATGAGCTCACAGCCCACCTGGTTTTAAGTGGTTACTGGAGCCCATAGACATCTATAACATAAATGCCGCCCCTCTCCTTCAAATATGAGTTCTAAGGTCTTATAGTATAGTTACAATTGCGGCTCCACTCTTCAAACCGAAACGCATTACTGCTTCACGGCAGAAATAGGCAGGGCTGTGGTACCTACCCGTGCGGACTCACAAAAGGTCCTACCAACAGTAAACAAATGTTGGGTTAGATACGTATCTTACTTAGAACTTTTTGGTACCTACCGGATAAGAATATAGTCGACGAGTAAACCAGACGAACTACGTTGGGTCGTGGGAGGTAGATGTGTCCGAAATTTCCTACAATCCTTGACTAAATCAAGATATCCTCAACAAATAGATTTCTAAATTAGCAAGCACTAAATTAGCAGGTTAGCAAAAGACCAATAACGATTATACAATTTATCCGTTTTATTTTATTTGAGTTATTTAGCGAATCGTGTTCTTTAGAAATTGAATTTAATTGCTTTTATTATATTCCCAAAAATGTTTGATTCATTTCTAAAATAATCGATGCATTTAAACTATTTTAAAATTTATACACAATAAAGATTTGACTGATTATGAGACTCGTATGTAAGATTCAACGTGGGTGGACCGTTGATAATAAAAGCGATATTTTATTTCCGAAATAACTTGCAAATCTGTTGAATACGGCCTTATATGGCCTGATCTATCAACGGACTTATCCGCTAGGCTAGATTCTAGTTTTTAGTGTTACGTAAGAAAATAACAAAAAACGGACACCAAAAAACATAAACTAAATATACTTAGTGGTGGTGAAGCGCATAGTAAGCTTGCCTATCTTTACTAAATCTACCACGGAGCAGTCAGTCGTTACGTGTCGAAGGGTGGAACATCAGGTGGGCCTGAGTTCGTTCACCTTTAGCAATAAAAAGGACCGATAGTTAAATTAAAAGGATCGGTCAATTACATTATTTTCTGTATTGTTTATAAGATAAATTTTGAATCACTTAATAAACATGGAATCATTCCTACAACAGCGATAACGAAGCACGTCATTTAATTAATGGCTAGCGCGTTCATCTGTATTGCCCCCAAATGACGTCATCTGTAACTGCTTCGCCGGAAGATACCCACAAAACGGCTATACTTTGTAGTCACTAAGCATCAAAAATTGATTTAGTCCTATTTCTATTGAATGTCCAAAATACTTTTACAGTTCTGTCAGATACGAATTTTCTAGACGCTTGCTTAGTAATGATAGCGTTTCTAAAAATAGTGCCATTACCGATTTTGAAATCACCAGGTATGTAATATAAATATGTATAAGAGCTGCTTACATTTTAAATACAAGTTTACTTCCAATCATATTCGTGGATAAGCCGTAAAATCTAGGTCAATTTTGTGAAAAGTCGTACGTTTTTGGAATTCTTACCATTACGAACTTAATTTTTTTTATGAAAGTTACAAGTGTTCATGTAATATGCTAACAAGCTCTCAGCCAGTTAGTGTTATATGTAGTTTTTATTTAATAATACGATACGACATTGACTGCGTTCATATTCTGATCTAGTTGAAAATTAATATGAATCATTAGCTGTATAAAGATTCAGAAATATTACACATTGACCAAACTGGCTGTATTAAAGTACCTGAATTTAAATGCCATGAGAAAGTCTCAGTTCATAGACGTGACATGACATTTCGCAGTAAAAGGGCGCAACCCTTCCAAAGGGCGCTCAAGTGGGGTGGAGTCGCGTATAATTTTCGATATAGAACGTACTCTAGACAAATATAATTATGCAGTTTTACGTAAAAAACCTTTTGTAGAAGCAGTAGTTGTATATCAATCATTTGATTATCAATGGTTTTCTTTTTTTGAAATTGAAGTTTACCTAATCAGTTGGTTGACATAAAAAATGAAAAGAGAATAAATCAATTCCTTGTAACATTTCTTGATTCCGTTTTTTTGCATAGTTCAGTACTACTTGATATAAATTGTACAATTACTCGTACTAATTCAGTGAGTCGAATAGAAAGCACTTTATTGAAGATCAAAGATAAAGAATCTAAAGGTATATAAAATACTTAAATACTTAAAAAAAAATAGCGTGACATTTTGTTCCTTATCCCTTAAATTGACCTCTTCCAGTCGATCGTCTATATAGAGAGCTTGCTGGTAACAATTGATCATTATATTACGTTGAAAGCCCAAATTTGTGAAGCAAAAAACTTTACGTGCGTATTTTTAAGCATTTTATTAATTTTGACTAAAATTTACATGTAACTTGTAGTGCACATTTGAATAAGTTTTAACATACACCTTACACAACCCTCGAAACAAAAATAAAATAAAACAAAAATTTTAAATAAAATTCACGACATACAAAGCCGTATCTTAAAATCCTGTGAATTTATATGCATGTATTTAAATCTCAGTGAAAAAACAACGACAAAACACTATAAAAGGTATTTGTTTATTAATATCGAATTTGTGAATTTTAACCGAATCAAATCTTACCGTTCGTCCAATGCAACTGCCTTTTCGAATTCTGAAAACGATACATAAGTTTCATTATAAACGTTGAATTATAAATTTAAAATGAGCTTAACATATTTATAATTTAAACATTTTATGACGATGGCAGTGCCAGCGGTCCTTGACGACCAAATGTTAGGGTGACGTAGTAGTTAGGTAACCCATCAATACCCATTATGTAAAAACTTATAGAAACAGAATACTTACAAGGTGGCCTGAACCGCCAGGGTCCAAAGAACCCCACGGAGCTTAACATGTCGGCTGTGTTGCCTACTCGACTGGTACCACAGGAGTGAAACCTGGGTCAGCACCACTCGCCTCGGCTACCCCAGGGCGGTACCAATACCACCAGTTATACCACCACGCATGCGTGTTCGCGGGTGGGGCAGAAAAATATTGATTTTTCCGGACCCCTATACCTGTGATGGGCTGATACGAGCTCTATTCACGGCATAGCGGACAAATTGCCGTGAGGGTGGTGATTCGGTTAAAGGCGAGGTATTAATTATGTAGTGAATGGAATGATTGATCGGGATCCAACTGATGGTACGGTGTTTGTGTAGTGTCACGTTGTCAAATCTTTAAGAACACGGTAGCTCCAACAACAACTTCGAGCTAACAATTACTGCGTGTTTGATGCTAGATAAGATTGACATTTAGAAAACGTCATAGTATTACAATAAAAAAAAACATATTATGGTTATGGCTTGTGACTTTTAAAATCTTAAAATTACCTTGTTAAAGTTCGCTTGAGTATATAGCTGATCACAAAATAATCTATTTCCATTTGATTACTTCAAGAAGTCCACTAGAGGCTTATTATGTCGATTTATTTACCCCTTTATTCGCATCCGCCCGCTACTCTAGCTATTGCGGTCAGAGCGCTGAAATCACAACTTGCGCAATCGTAGGGCTTTCATTGGTTTATCGCTTCGTACGGGCTTGGTTTTTTACGAGTGTCGATAAAGCTGAATTTGCTAAAATTACCTTCAATCAATGAATTGCATAACAAAATAAAATTATATGTTACAAGCTCAAAGGCATGCGTGTTTCTTTCTGAACATTAACACAATTAAATTTCAAAGTAAAAAATGAACACCATTTACTTTGTTTTGTGCACCGCATTTTGTATTTTTTCAATGTCAACCTTATGTAATTTTTTCAATAAATACCTATAGAAATACTTGTATTAAATACCTCAATTTAGTAAAAATATTTCAACTGTTTCGATTCCCAGTTTAGTCTTGTTTCGTCTAGTCGGACGTCCCTGTCGATTAAATAATTCTTTTTGGTACCTTACGATATGTTCTTAACTGCATTTTAATTATTTTTCACTGAGGTAAATTGTGGCAACCCATTTCATTTAGGTATTAGTCGCACTTATGTCGGTAAATTCAGACTCAATTCTTCCTTCATTTTAACCTATTTTACCTACGAACTTTACTTGCAATAGCTTCTCTATGATGCTCAGATTTTCTAATTTAGAATTTTAATATAATAAAAAAATACTTTATAAAATGATGCATCATCTTTAAATTTCGTTAATCTAGAACAAAATATTATTATTTCTTCAAACCTTGTTCTTTAGTTTTGGTATTTGTATAATATATGTATTACTAGAGGTCTAAATCTATTTTTTATTAGGAACTACATGTTTTTCTTGATATAAATTCAAGTATAGACGAGCTTCAGGACTACATAAAGTTATTGGATTACCAGATCCCCTAGCAATTTGAGCTCTATTGTCTTGCTTCAGACCCGAGATTTGAGCTTAAAAATAAATGAATTGGAGAATTGAAGCTTTAAAATTTAAGGTGCATATGGATACATATGCAGGATACAATGCACATATCTCAGGACCTTCTACACCACCCTTGATTGACTGGCAGAGAGCTCCTTAGGCATTAAGTCTCCCACTGTATTCTTGTGCGTCAAGTTGATTAAATGAATTGAATGAATGAATGATTGAATATGATAGAAACTGTTTCTTAGTTCTCTGCCAAAATTTTACTTAACAATAGTCTTTACGTAAATTTTAGGCATCAAACTGTTGTCTAGGTTTCGTGTCTACGGTTACTCACAGAGCGTAGTTATAATAATAATGCCCCTATACATAATGGATGTTCCACGGAAAGCGCATTGCAGGTTTTATTCGAGTCATGAAAAACAAAAGCTAACAAAAACTTATTCATTCAGTCTATTTATGCTGACCTATTGCGTTATTGACGTTGTTCTTAAGTAACTAGCCTTGTCTATGATCAAGACCAGCACGAACCTTGATATATGAAGTATCTCATGGCATTAGTTAAAAATTAGTACGTTTTCAGAAGATTTAAAACTAAAATAATGAGTATTATTCATAGTTCAAGCTCTATACATTTGTTTACAAAATTCCGCAAAGGATTCAAACGATAGATGAGAAACGATTTTTGCTAGCAGCAATCATGAAGTATATAACGAATAAACTACTATTACTTTTAGTAGTGGTAGTTGTTACGTCAAGGGCATGTTGCATGATTAAGGTGTAAGAAGAATATGAAGAATAGAAGGAGAAATATGAAAATAAATCAAGTCATAACTAGGAACAATCCAGCTGTAATTGATCCTTTTATTGCCTACCCATTGATAGCAAGCTCGAGAGGCTATGCTATGTGCCTCAGGACTTTGGTAGCCCTAGCCCACTGAGAAGATCCGGCAAGAAACTCAGTGGGTTGTGTCTGTGAGTTAATTTTCATGACGAACACTTCGTCCCATTCGACGGGTTCGACGAGAACGATGACCGGTACTTGGAATGCCTAAAAGCAACGAGAGTGGATCAGGAGGTTCCGAAAGACGTTTAATATATATTTTTTATTTGTTGTTTAGCCGGGTAAAAGAGTTCGCAGGCTGAGTATTGTAAAGATGTTACCAGAACCCTATCGCTATGTGAATGTCGCCACCCACTGAAGTCTTAACTGTACTGTAAATGGCTCTCCCACTCTTCAAACCAAAAGGCAAGATTGTTTCGTAGCAGAAATAGTCAAAGACAGCGGTATGTACTTGATGTACAAGAGTCAGGATCATTAAGCACCTTTTTTTTCGGGCCGGGGACCCAACCTCCTACGAGGTGCCCGCGCCTAGGGTGCGCGCGAGGTATTAGGGACTCCCCTGCGCTCTTAAATCCGACGTCCGATTTCTGTTCGGGGTTAGAATCCGGTCAGAGTAGGGGGTTCCCGCTGTCAACACAATAACCAGACTCGCTAGTCGACGACCAGCGACGCGGGTCTCCGCAGTACGGCGGCCCTACTAGGCTGCCCGGGCGATGTTCCGAGATACCCCGATGGGTATCTCGGAACAGCCTGCCGGGTCGGAACGCAATACATCGCCAGCTGGGTCACTCTTCCAACGATCATTAAGCACCTAGACCAATCGATCCTAACGATCGAAATTAAAATAAGTTTACTAGAAACATAAGTAACCAACGGAATCGTGGTTAGTTTTTTTTAACCATTTAATCTTAATTACATTTGTAGAGCAAAGCAATAAAACTAATGTATTGTCATTGATCCATCATACCTATGCAAATTTTCATGTTAATCGGACATCTTGAAATTAGTCAAACATTCCATTATATAGATAGATATTGGTTAAACAGATAAATGTATTTATTTATTAGCGCACAGAAATCAAGAAAACGTATGTATCAGCACCCCGTGACCGATACGAGTCATTCAAGTTTCCATGAACGCCAGGCGCACCTGGTACCTGATATATGAACGTTTTAATTGATCACATTTAAATAATTATCCATTCAGATGCTATTTCGACATTCAATTGCACGTTATATTTTTATTACTCTTTTGAATGTCGTTTTTGTCGGTATAAAGTAATCTAAACTTTATATGTTTGAAATGATAATTTAAACTAGTGTGGCCTAATTTATTGGAGAGCTTCGGGAGTACTTTTAGACTTATATCTGAGATGTATGAAAGAAGTTCTCGATGTTTCTGATATTAAAAGCGGATAGATATCGTAGCCATAAATGCCGTTGTTGTACAATTGAAAATATTGACCTGAGAGGCGTCTAATTTTTCCAGGATTCCATTCCATACCATTCCATATAATTTCCATAAATATTTCATATTGCATAGGTATATAGTTGAACTTTGAACTTTAATTCATAATTCTTAATATAACTCATAATACATTCACTCAATTATTTGCTAAATATCCTTGTTAATTTAAAATGTAGTGGGGTGATATAAAGATTTGATTTTCTGTGTTAAAGCTGCTCTATGTAGCTAAGAAGCCAAATGCAAAATTTAAGATCTCCGTCGCCTTATTACCAGTCGAACAATATAGCTACTCCTATTTATAATGGAACGCATTTATAATGTTTGTAAAAGAAAAATATCTTACTGTCAACATAGTAATCGTAATAAGTAATAATAAAATCCAATTCTTAGCTGTATATTTTATTTTTATTTTTGATGTTAATGCAATGTCGATTGCACCTATAATTGAGGTGACATCTGCCATGAACTTTTGTCAATTTGTCAATGTTTTGTATTGATGATCACTTTGTTGGTGCAACTTATTAAATAAATAAATAAATAAGTAAGCAATAGGAACCGAGAAAAGAAATTACATTAGAGAAATAAATATAGCTCCCAGAGCCAAGTCGCACATTTCAAAAGATGATTTAGGTCAATACCCTGGTCATTGTTTAACCAATTTTTTTTTTGCCGACAAGCAGTAATACATTCCTGTTTGAAAAGTGGGGCAGCCGTTTTACTATAGCATTGAGATTTACTATTAACTCTCACTCAACTCTCAAGGTGGGTGGTATTAACATTGTGTTGATGTTCATTTCTATAGGCTTCAGTACCATTTAACACCAGTTGAGCTGTGAGGTCGTTCAGCTGTCTAAGAAAAAGAAAATGAGCGGTAAAATCATAACTTCTTTAGTTTGTATTAATATTGAGTAACATTAGTCTTACTATAACATATTCGCCAACTTTATGGTCAGAATTCAAGAGATTTCTGAGTTAGTAGGATTTCAACGTACACATCATCCGGAATTATCAAATCCAATTAATTCAAGACCTAAGTAAAGAAAGATCAGTAAGACATAAAAAAAGGAAAATAAAAGCGCTCGAATCGCGAGAATGTCATTTAAGTGCATGATAAAAATATCACATAAACAGTAATTTTATTTAATAAAGTGTCGAATATATTGTATTTTGTCCACTTTAAAATTGGTATTATAAGGTTTTGCTAAATAAAACACCCACCTAATTTGAAATCGATGCTTATCTTTTCTTGCCCAGCACAAATGCTCCGTGGCCAAAATAAATCGGATGGTAGTATTCATTCAACAGTAACTAGTAAAATTAGGGGTGTAGATGTAAGACCTTGGGATGAACATAATCAAAGGGAAGAAGATACCACTACTT